TACACACAATAGCCAGCTGGGCGTCCTCGAGGAGGCTGAAGTGTCTAGGGTGGATCCCGTCCCAGGTCCTAGCAGTGGTACTACTGAATTTGCGGCTGGCTGCGCGCAACTGATCTGCTGAAATGTCTGCAAGGTCTTCACCTCGCAATTCTGCTTGAAGAAGGGCAGGCTCCTCAGGTCGAGCTCGCCACAGCTTACTTAAACGTTGCTGTTCCGCCTCCAACATATCGATCGGACGACCAGACCAGCGGGCTTTAGCAGAACTCCAGACTCTTGAGGGCTGCCAAGCCGTCAGTCTACTACTCCATCTGTGGGCCCACCCAACACCTTTCCCCATGGCTTCTGTGACCCAAAGTTTCCAGGATTGACGGTCGTCGGAGCGGTCCCTGGCGATTTCACGGTCCAAAGCTTTTGAAATCTCCGAGTCCAGATCTTCGAAAACGGTGGCGATGAGCTCGAAGTTGGGCTCACTGTGGGTGGCATCCAAAAGGGTAGCCTGAATACACGTGCGTACACTGGTTCTTAAAGCTTCAAACTCTGCGACTACTTCCAAATCAGCAGGAGGTGAGGCGAGGTCGAGCTGTGCCTGGTGGAGCTCCTCGAGGTCCTGTTCCTCCACTCCCCTCCTGATGTTGGTAACTTTGTTCCTTAACCATCTAAAAGTAGCTGCTGCATTCCTCCAACTCCTCCTATCCTTGGCCTCGACAGCCTTGGCGGGTATCCATCTTATCGTCGGCACCTGAGCTCGGCGCCTCTTACTTTTGAGCGGCGTGTCGGTAACGATGCTGAGCGTGGTGGACATGTCGTCCACTAGGTAGCCATACGCCGCGTCCACGGCTGCAACTAAGGCATCGAGCGAAACTGGCTGAAGAGGAAAGCACTGCCCCATGTCCCCAAACACGGCATATTGATCGCGTTCCTCAAGAAGTCCCTCCAGACAATCCAGAGCCCCAAGACTTCGAGACCACGGTGGGACCATGTTGCGAGGACCCACAGGGGCGACCACTGGGATGAACTGAGGCTGCTCCAGGACGGGAATGAGATATGGGGCCCCAATCACCATATCCAACACGACTGGCCTATGTGGACTACTCGGGTAGTCAACTAGAACTTTGGGCTGCTTCAAGAAGTGCTCGAAACAGTACGACCCCATGAAATAATCTATAATTGTCTTTGACTTCTTAGTGTACAATGTGTGCGTGTCTGGAACGATCACCTGGACCCCAGCCCTGGTCGGGAACTCCGTTTCGATCACTTTGGACGGGCACACGTTGAAATCTCCTGCTAGCAAGAGCGGCAAAAGGTGGCCGGAGAAGGCCTGCACAACACTGGTCAGCACTGTGAGGTTCTCCTCATTCAAGCCAACGGAGTCGGCCAGATACAGCGATCCTAAACAGAAAGGTTGGTGACCTGGAGCCTCAATGCTGACGACAGTAGCCCGAGACTTCTGGAAACCTTCAGGAAGAGGTAGCTTGGTAATTCCAAGATCTAGGCCAGAACGTACTAGTACTCCAGTACCCTGACACGGAAAACCCTTGGTACTCAAAACAGCTGGCGACAAAATTGCTAACCATCCCCTGTTAGCACACCACTCCGTTTCTTTGACCAGATCATATTCCCGAATGCGCGTCTCCTGGCAACAGATAATCTGGATTTCCTTGGCCCCCTTGGAAACCATGAACTTACGGACTCCAGACCAACTGCTACAATTGAACGTGCATATTCTGAGGTTGTTACCCATCCAACGGCTTAGCCTCACCCGCGCCTGTGCCGCCAGGTGCAGCAGCGGCAAGGCGGGCCTGGCGCTTGGCGAGGCGGTCCTGCGCCCCCTGGGCCTCCTCGCTGAGGCAATGGATGCCCGTGGCGGTGGAGAGGACCAGGTGCTCGCCGTTCCCCGCGTGCTTGCGAATGACGCCACGGTGGCTGTCATCCTCCATGGCGGCTGCAGCAGGCCCGAGCCCTTCTCCAGGTCGATCTGGTGGGGTGGGCGTCTGGACTGCAACAGGTTGAGCACCACTATCAGGCGCCCCAGGTTGAAGCAATTGCGGCGGCTGCTGCTGCTGCTGCTGCTGGTGTTGCTGCCACTCCTGCTCCAGCTTCTTGTTGACCTCCACGAGCTCCTTCTTGATGTGGTCTGGCAGGCCCTGCGGGAACCTACTGTCCACAAAGTTGAGCAAGGTCGTGTCTTCTTTGTTGTCAGGGCCATTGAGGCGAGCCGCCGCCTCCGCCACTGCTGCCTTCGCTGCCACGCTGTGCTGAGCCTCCAGCTGGGAGACCTCGGCGAGCAGCTCCTTGTACGATTCCACGGACTTGTCGTACACCTCGGCTGCCTTGTCCAGGCTGATGAGGTTCTTCTCAACTTCGCCCTTCTTCGACTCGAGCCTGCGCTTCTGCCGCTGGAGCTGGTCGGCCAGCGACTGGGTCTTGGCGTCCAGCGACTTGCCCTCGAGCGCCTTGGTCTTGGCCAGGCGGAGGTCTTCGCAGGCCTGGATGTACTGCT